AGGGCAATAATACACATTATCCTAATTGTTACAGCATGAAATGAAGTGCACCATGATTATAAAAAATCGTAGGTATCTATAGGTGTCTCTTCCATTGCATACTTTTTTATATACATTGCACAATAGATTATGTATCCAAGAATGAAAAGGAAAAAAAAAGAAAAAAGAAAATCTGCTCCAATTAAAATTCGGGACATGGTGCTAAGTCTGACTCCGAGAAAAGTCAAAGCAATTTGTACAGCTGATTGCGGGGAGAGAGAAGTTTCAACAGCAATTTCTGGTGATGGATAAGGATTAGTTGTTCTTTTTTAAAACAAGCATCAATTGTTCTTGTAATAAGTATGACATGCATCCTCGTTCTGAATGTATTGACCATCTTCTACACCCTGGAAGACAAGGAAATTCTCATGGCTTGCGTGTGGTTTGATGTTTCTTATAAAAAGAAAAGTCATCCTTGCAGCTGACTCAGATTTATTTATTTTTTACATTTATGACATTGCATTGTGATTTGATGTTTCTTATTAAAAAAAAAATAGAGACAAGAGAGAGCCTAACATCATTCAGAAAAGTAAAGTGAAGAACAATGTGAAAAAATTGTTTGTTGGTAATAAATCTCATGGCCTTCAAAACGAAGAGATTATTCTCGTAACTTCTTTGATAGTTTTTACGTAAACATTGCTTTGACTAGCACAAATCACTCTAGGAGGAGATTCTGTCGAGCAATTAACTATCTTTGGTGTAAACCTTGCTTGCTAAGCAAAGATCTGACTTAGGAGACGTTAAAGATCAGGTGCATTAAGAAAAGGCTTCTTTAAAAATTATAGTCGCCATAGACATGATTGCCGAAAACTTTCCAGATCACTAGGATGAGTTAAGAATTGCAGAAAGACAGGTCGGGAATGGGGGTTTGTACAACACTCCCATGATAACTATCGGGAAAGATTGTCGGAGCGCCAAGTTGTGGCCGAACGAGATATTTGTTTGAGGTTGTTTTCGCATTCGAAATTCATCAATTTTTCCACGGAAACAAAAGGGCTTGTCCAAGAAAAGAAGAGTGGATAATCCATAATTTATACGCAACTGTCTCTTCCCTTTTTGTAAATTAATTTGTCTGTCCACAGGGATGTGAGACATTATTAAATGGACAATATAGAATGGCGCCATATGCACAGCTATTAACAAGCTCTCCTAAACTAACGAACACACACTATAAATAGAGGCCCGTTAGCCACATCATTCTCTCGTATTTCTCCGCTTAATTCTAGATCCCCATTTAAAAAGTGAAAGTGTTGCTCTCTCTCTCTCTCTCTCTCTCTCTCTCTCTCTCTCTCTCTCTCTCTCATGCTTCTGAAGAAACTCGAATTCTCTTCAGAAGCCACATATCTCGTGCTCGTGGGAAAAAGGAGATGATATAAGGGAGCCCCAAGATTAACACCGTTCATCCTAAGGAGAAAAATTTTGTTTTTCTCCTTTGGCAAATTCACATTGATTCTTGAATCTCGGATATCAGACATCTTGGGCAGAAGGTCGTAAGACATCGATGGCGGCCAATGCGACGGCGACGGTTTGTCCCGCACCAATGAAGGCGACGTCGAATGGGTCGTTCCAGGGCGACAGCCCTCTGGATTACGCGCTTCCTCTGGTCATCCTTCAAATATGCCTCGTCGTGGCCTTCACGAGACTGCTTGCATTGATTCTCAGGCCTCTCAGACAACCGAGGGTCATTGCGGAGATCATTGTGAGTTTCTTACATATCATCGTTTGAGGAGAAAAGTGTTTATTCGGGAAATTCTAGGGTTTTTTAACATTCATTTCAATTCTGAAAAATGGAGTGCCATTTAAGATGTTCTTTCCAAAAGGGTCCGCCAAGTTCCTAGAGAAATCATCCACAACCTAACCAAGGTTCTGCAAAGCCTTTTCCTATTGATATGAATGCACATGGCAATTAATCTAAGTGAGGTAGTTTTTAAAGTTCATATGAACTGGGGAAATTATTAATGTTGTCATCAGGTCTCACATTAGAGAAACAGTTAGACACTTGGTTATTGTAATTTTTATGTCTCCAGGGTGGAATCTTGCTTGGGCCTTCAGCATTAGGAAGAAGCGAGAAATTCCTGCACACAGTTTTCCCGGCACGAAGCATGACCGTCCTCGACACGCTTGCGAACATAGGCCTCCTCTACTTCTTATTCCTGGTTGGCCTTGAGCTCGACATCCGCTCCATTAAGAGAACCGGCAAGAAAGCCCTCGGAATCGCCCTAGTCGGTATCAGCCTCCCTTTCGTCCTCGGAATCGGCACGTCGGTGGTCCTCCGGTCCACGATCTCCAAAGGAGTGAGCCAAGGCCCGTTCCTCGTCTTCATGGGCGTGGCCCTATCCATCACGGCCTTTCCCGTTCTGGCCCGCATACTTGCTGAGCTCAAGCTCCTAACCACTGACTTGGGCCGCATAGCCATGTCGGCGGCCGCCGTCAACGATGTTGCGGCGTGGATCCTGCTCGCACTCGCCATAGCCCTCTCAGGCAGCAACACGTCCCCTCTGGTCTCCCTGTGGGTCTTGCTCTGTGGGGTTGCATTCGTGTTATTTGCAATCTTCGCCCTCAATCCGGCGCTCACCTGGATGGCACGCAGGTCACCCGAGGGTGAGCCCGTGAAGGAACTCTACATATGCATCACGCTGTCACTTGTGCTGGCCGCGGGCTTCGTGACAGACACCATCGGCATACATGCGCTCTTCGGAGCTTTTGTGGTGGGCATTGTGGTGCCTAAGGACGGGCCATTCGCCGGGGTCCTGATCGAGAAGATAGAGGACCTTGTGTCGGGGCTCCTCCTGCCACTCTACTTTGTGTCGAGCGGATTGAAGACAAATGTCGCAACAATACAAGGAGCGCAGTCCTGGGGGCTGTTGGTGCTTGTCATTTTCACAGCTTGCTTTGGGAAAATTGTGGGGACAATGTCCGTTTCAATGTTGTGCAAGGTGCCATTTAAGGAAGCTGTCACTCTGGGGTTCCTGATGAACACCAAGGGTTTGGTGGAGCTCATTGTGCTCAACATTGGGAAGGACAGGAAGGTACAGTATGTTCATCCATTTCTCGCTGAACACAAAATTTTACAATTGGCAAGTTGTCGTGCTTTATAATTAGTCCTAAGCTAAGAAGATCAATCAGGTAATTGACAAAATTAATCTGCCATAACAAAGGCATTTCAGGAAAACAAGTTGGAGTGACAGCAAATTGATTACCCTTTTTGGTCCTTTGTCTCAGGTGCTGAATGACCAGACATTTGCAGTCTTAGTTCTAATGGCCTTATTCACCACCTTCATCACAACCCCAATAGTGATGGCTGTGTATAAACCGGCCAGGAGAGGAGTGCCATATAAGCACAGGACGATCCGGCGGAAGGACCTCGACACCGAGCTCCGGCTGCTGGTCTGCTTCCACAGCACGCGCAACATCCCTACCATGATCAACCTCATCGAGTCGTCCCGTGGGATTCGGAAGAGGGGCCGCCTCAGTGTCTACGCCATGCACCTCATGGAGCTCTCCGAGCGATCCTCAGCCATTTCCATGGTGCACAAGGCACGGAGGAATGGCCTCCCGTTTTGGAACAAAGCCCGCGACGACCAGGACCAGATGGTGATTGCATTCGAGGCCTACCAGCAGCTCAGTTCCGTCACCGTGCGCCCCATGACCGCTATATCCCCTCTCGGCACCATCCACGAGGACATCTGCACGAGCGCGCACCAGAAGCGGTCCGCGATGATATTGGTCCCATTCCACAAGCACCAGAGGTTGGATGGTGTGATGGAGTCACTGGGCCACTCCTTCCAAGCCGTGAACCAGAGGGTCCTACACTATGCGCCGTGCTCGGTCGGGATTCTTGTGGACCGCGGCCTAGGAGGCACAACCCAAGTCTCTGCCAGCGATGTCTCGTACACGATTGTCGTGCCCTTTTTTGGAGGCGGTGATGATTGTGAGGCGCTCGCCTTCGGGGTTCGCATGGCAGAGCATCCTGGGATTGTGCTGAGTGTCATGAAGTTTGTTTTCCCTCCAGGAACTGCAGTTGCAGCACTAGAAAGTAATGAAGATGATGACAACCCCAGCGATGATGATCTGTCAGAGTTGACTGCCAGCAAAAATGTGTCTATTGCCTATGAGGAGAGGGCTGTGGCAACTACGGAAGACATTGTTGCTGCATTAAAATCAATGAGCAAGTGCAATCTGTTTATAGTGGGAAGGATGCCTTCCAATGTGCCGGTATTGGTGGACCGGACGAGTGATTGTCCGGAATTGGGCCATGTCGGGAGTTACTTGGCCTCGTCGGGCTTCTCAACCACCGCATCAGTTCTGGTGGTTCAACAGTATAACCCATCGGGGAGTCTTCACCCGCTGGTGGAGGAACAGGCGAACACAGATGTCTATGACGTACCAGATACACCGATGGGAGATCACCCCCGTGGCAGTAATATGGTCTAAAGTTCTGTCTCACATGTACTTGTGCATCATCTTCGTCAAACTCAACAAAGTACCTTTCAAATCACGCTTATATAGAGTGAAACTATTAGGCCATCCTAGTCAAATAAGAGATCTCCTCTATTCCCTATTTCGAGGAGATTGTAATGCCGTGTACTTCATGTTACTATGCATTGCAAATTGTGGAGCTAGTGAACCCTGGACATGATCATGGGTATGAAACTGGAGCAGGTCGAGGCTTGACGAAATCTTTCAGACACAGAAGACGAAGGAGAGTGGTGGGAGATGTAAAATGTGTCACCTGTAATGTAAGTGTGCGACTTCATGGGGCAGAACATTGTGGGCACAAATGCTCGCAAACACTAAGATCAACCTTATGCACACATGTTTATATAGATTTACCATCTCAATATTGTAAACACTGTAATAAAGAACATTATCAATCAGAAGGGATTATTTTCTCTAGTAACCATCTTGTCCAGTTCCTTAGAACTGACGAGGCCAACTATGGCAAAAGAGGGGAGGGAGACGACAATATAACGTAGATTCTATGTATCAACTCAAACCATTTCTCGTAAGGATTTAAATGAATCATCTACAGAAATAAAAAAGACAGCTCGCCAACGTGACCAGTCGAACCTAGTCCATGTTCAGCCCATTGGAGCACAAGTCTCGCATGTAAGAATAAACAGAGAAAAGAGGAAATGAAGTTGAAATCGCCAAAGACTTCATTTGAACAGCTGTACATCACAAATGGAATCAGAGTGACAATGATCTCCTGTCACATTTCCTAGGCCTACCTTAGCTTCCGGATCGGCAATGCTCGTCCAAAGAGCTTCTCAACTTCAGTCGCTTCCATTTTCAGCTCATTCAATAACTCCATTTCCTCTTGACTGAGGCCTCTCAAGAAGTTCTCCTCATCTTGTCTGAGCTCTTTAAACCAGTCAGCCAACTTCTGGAACAAAGTCATCTCGGTCTTTCCCACTTTTTGTACCTCATCTTCAATCTGCTCGACCTCCCTCACGATAGTCTTCTCGCCTTCCTCCACCGTCTTCTCTATTCTCTCCACAAGAGGAGGCTCGGGCCCGCAAGTATTATCGGTTCGGATGAAGTCTTTAAAGTCTCTTCCTACGCTCTTCGCAGCTCTTTCGATTTCTGGTACGATACTATCTGGCAAAACCGCACTTCTCGTGTATAATACAGCTCCTCCGTACCCATCCCATGCATCATTCCAGCCCCGATAGTATACGAATATGTAATCATCTGGCTTGTTTTCTGTCTTGGATGACAATATATACCTGCCAAGTTTGTAGCAAAGAAGAAATTACTGAAAATTACATTCATCAATTAACAAAACCGAAGTAATAATTTTCGAGATGACATTATATATCAGATAAATAATCCACTTGATCGTGAACGATATCATTTTGGCCACATCTCTGACTGCTATCTCAGGAAGTTTTCCTCCATGTTGTTGATTATCTAATCTTCAATATGAGCTTTCCAGTATTTCTTGACCCAATAATTTGTCAGTTCTAACTTTGAGACAACAAATTGAATACTAAGTGAAAACATTCAGCAGCTAATTTGTTTCTTGTATTCACGCATAATTAAAAGTATGTCAAATTTCCAAGCATTAAACCGCAGAAACTCATACTTCTATTCCTCCCGGATAAAAGCTGAGTGACATAATTCCCCACACATCACATACAGGATGGGCCTTCTTTTGTTCGAGAATTTGAATAATAGAAGATGATTTGGAGGTCGCTCCATACATATGAAGTCGAGGCAAAGACTATAGTCATCAGAAGGAAATAAGTTTGCATGAGAAACTGGAACTTAGAAACGTTGAAGAACTTGCCGCAAGGAATTACCAGTCATCTTGATAATGGAGATATTCATTATCGTGATTGTATAATATCCCGGGCTGTTCAGGGTCCTGTACGAATCTCTGTACGGCTGTTCGGGTGAAGAATGCACTATCTGGAGTACGTATCCTCCACGACAGATTGCCCACAAGCTTGTTTGATTCCGTATGAAATTCATGCAATTGGCAATCGAAAGTGTCAAAAGTGGGATTTAAGCCACTAGAAATGAACCACTTCCCACTGAAATCTGCTATGTTGAAGCTCTTAACGAGAACTGCAGGATCAGGGACAGGAAATTCTCCAACATCAGATTTCCGAGGTACACACTTCTTCCGCGAAACTGCACATTCATTGAATTCATCCACAACACTATTTTCAAAGAGATCCCCACACTTGATCTGAAAAATATAAAGATAAAACTTCTGTCAGAAAAGTGAGCGACTATACTTGAACTCCTGGCCGGGTTATTCGCTTTTTAAGCCAAATATAGTGCACTAAATCCAATTTTAGCAGAAACTAAATATTTTGAACAGAGCATTACTATTCTGTTCTTCCTACTATTACATGAGAAGAAGCACAGAAAACTCGGAGAGCTAATGCAGCGAAAAGGGTGAACTAATAAATCACTATGAAAGGTGGCGCCTAGGCTCTTGACCTGATGATTTATTTCTCTATTACAGTAGTGTTCATCAACATAAATGTCGTTACGAAATGGTAAGTTCAGAGCAAACCTGGCATTCAGTCTCGTCAGGCCGATTGTTGCACGTCTGGAGACAAGCAACATTCGCAGCACATGATGGATTTGCGATGCACTTGGCCAGTTCTATCCTGCCCATTGAACCAATCAATCAACTCAGGAGCATTATTCTCCATTCTTTACTATCATATTTATAGTCATTGTAGAACCCCCTACCCTCCACATCAGCAATCAACTCCATAATATGCACCTCATGTTTCGCCTACTAATATAGAAGATGAGATACTGGTTTTTGAACCCTCAAGGATAATGACATCAACTATGAGGGAAAACTTAGCTGAAAAGATAACAAAAATAATTTTTCCAGCTGATAAAGTGACTCTTGGCACAGTAGCAGAAAATCTGAGCAAGGCCAGATGATAGAAGGACTTCATCTTTTTCATGAACAAAGCTGACTATGACAGACAGACAGAGCAATATGCTATAAACACGGGAGTATAAATATGATATCATGATTCCTTCAGTCAATTATGCTAAATAGTAGCAAGAAAGTTCTTATTACTTCTACTATTTTTGACCGAATGTCAATTGTCCAGTCATCTCACATGTAATAAAGGGCGCAGACGTCAACCACGTGAAGTTCTCTCAAGCTCACGGGTTAAAGGACGTATTAACCCACAACATAAAATGAACGGTGCCTAATTCAACTACTTGAAAGATTAATGACCACATACTTCTGCTGCAATCCCAACTTCAAACAATTCAAAAGAGAAAATACATAGAGAATCCGCCTAATTTTTGACAACTTGCAGGAGCCAAGATGCGAAGGGGTTGTGAATCCAAAGAGTCCCATCAGTGGCTTCCCCCCCGACACACCACCCCACCCGCCCCCCCCGCCCGAACCCAACTCCTTCCTTTCAACACTATTTTTGCCGTCACTCTTTTAGGAGGCTTCTTTTTGCAATACTTTATGCACCATCGGGTTATTATATACAGTGGACCAACTGTTCATTAAACAAGAAGCTGAATACCACGGAACTTAATGGAGGAAATACCTGCACTCTTTTAGCAAGCAAGCGCAGGTTTTGAGAGCATCAACTGCATCAGCAGAGGGAATTATCAAGAATGCGCATGCAGCTAAAGCAGCTAGTTTGGTGACGTGTCGCTGACTCCATTCTCTCGCTAATTGAAATATCTCCCGTGCACTCTCAGTTACCTTGAAAGAGACAAAACAATGTCAAGGACCTAGCGATTCTCCATGAATGAAACAAGAGAAAAATTGAAGTCACCCACTACCTTAGGCACTCTCGAACGACTTCCACACAATGAAGAAACTTCCTCTTTCCTCGGCAATGGCAAACCAGAACAACTTGATTCGGAACGACAATGGCTCTCTTGACAGCATTTCATTTCCAAGCGCCTCGTTGTTTTTATGCCTGTCCACACAGTCGCCCGAGCTTTGCCATGATGACACAGCAACTTCATATGAGAACTTCTATCAGCCAAAATGGTAACCGCAATAGACGCAGCACCAGTGCTCTCATCGCGGAACAGGCAGATGGACCGCGCAGCAGCCGATGCCATGGTTCGGAATTTTCTCCTCCTACTGCAAGCTGATTCACCCCACGAAATTAGCTTCTTTCACCGTGAATTAGCCGTGTACTCACGCCTCATCTCCCAACCAAACCCAAACAACAGGGAAATAATTCCCACCCAGATAATTAAACAGTCATATTCCCACCATATTCAACTCAAAATCCAATCTTGGCTCAAACGCCGGACATGGGACATTGAAATTCTCAATCAATAACAAGAAACTGAACGTCCAAAAACCCCAGGAATTACTCCAACCTTGCCATTCATGGCTTCCATTTCATGAAGACACTTCACCAAACCAATAGCCCAGCTAAAAGAGAAGAAGAAAAAAACTGACCTTGACGACAGGTGGGCAGGATTGGAGAGTGGAGAGAGGCTCGCTTCTGTTCATCTCGCAGAAAAATTCGGACTTTGCAGAAGAAGTGATGAGAAAAAGAGGCGCCAAGCTGTGTGGGGCTTGGAAGGGAGGGAAGCCAGATAAGAGATTGTGTGGAAATAAGGCATGTGACGTTGTTGTGATTATTTCAATATTTCAATCTCACTCTACATTTCTTTTTATTACTATCAATTTTCTTAAATTATATTAGTGATTTCCTCTGAGAAAATGGCATTTTTAGTTTCTCCTGTCAAATTCTATAATATTAATCAGAATCATTTTCACTATATATTAAAATTTCTCTTCTTTCAACATCTGTGCATTGCGCAGCGTTTACTTTCGAATATACATATAATATGGTTTAAAGGATTTGTAATTAAGTTTATTGTTGGTTTAAGAAATAATTTACACACTCGCTATTGGATCATCAACACGCAATAGAATTCAATGATGAGACTGACTCCAAAAGCACGTGTCATTCACTCGATGGTGAATGTGTTAGTGGATCTAATAATAATCTTATTTTTAATATATATAAACTAATTTTAAAGAAAGGAAATGAAGACTAGAAGCACCAGAGGAAATAATTTTTACCAAAAAAAAAATAATTATAGTTTTCTGAGAACAATGTTCGGAGATATTAATGGTTGAAAACATTAAATGAAAATTCCTTATGCAAGTTATCTTTATGATCAGTGAATTGGATATGATAATGTGTATCGATATTCGATGTTGTAGATTTGTTATTTGATCTTTTCGTCCAACCACTATGGTAACATTGTATTCTCAACAATCAAAGATTAGAGATATGGTTCTTAACAAGGATGGTAGATGAAGAAAATATCTACTAATGGATCTAAAATGTCCAAGTGCAGACACTAATCATGTTTTATTGTCAAATACTATTCCCTTTGATTTTTTGAAAATGTATAAAAGCATATCGAGAATAGATTATGAATTACTAACTTTGGGATTGACCCAATGGTAAGGGCACCACCATCCTTTCTGTTCAAGAACAACCGGTAGTTGCAGGTTCAATTCTTGCCCCAAAGAAACTTAGATTTAAGTAGGAGGTCATGGTGGCGCGTTATGATGTTAATTTCCTTCGAAGTAGCCGGTTAATCAAGGTTGTGTCCCTAGATTATGAGAAAAATGGAATTAATAAATTAGATTCGTGGAAGGCACCACCATTCCTCTGTTATGTAAAAGTGACTTTCCAGCATTAAATGGAATACATTTAGTGTCGACGAATAAACAAGCCCAAAAAACCAAATAAGTCCATATTCTTCAAAGAAAATAAATTATGATGCAAAAGTCACTTTTCAGCATTCAATTCTATTTATTTAATGTGGGCACCTAAATTAGCCGAAAACCAAATTGTCCACGCTATTTAAAAGACTATAATTAATCGTCTGTATGTTTATAAAGAAATTAATAAAGGACATAAATTGTATTCGAGAATTTCAAATCCGGCTCAAACATTTAAGTGTTAAATTTACAGATGTTTCTTTTGATTCCATAATCGAATTTTGTTACTCTTATTTCTATTTCATATTGCTCAATTTCCTTTTCTTATTTCGAGAATGTCAAATCCGGTTCGTGTATGGTACGAACTAAGACATTACAATATCTCACGGTACCAAATTCCGCGCAAACCCATTGCCAGCGACCGCTTCTTTAACTCTCTACCGTACTAAAGATTTCGCCGCCATAGAATATTCGACCCAACACGGCGATGTGATTAAGGAAAACCCCGATTGGACGAACTGTCTGAAAATAATTAAATTTTTAGCTGGGAGTTAATAACTAGGGAGAGGTTTGCTATCACCCACAAGAAGCAGACAATCTGTGAGAACAAGTTTCGTAGCATATCTGGTCTCGATTCTTAAGCATAAACACGATAATACAAGTCTTTGATGCAGACATTCCTCGTGGAACCCAAGGTTCGGTAGCTGGAAGCAGCACGTCTGTAGTAGGCGAGGATATTCCAAACTGTTGTCGACGATCACAAGGAAGAAGATCATCTATAACTACACCACCTTCCTCATCTCTTCGAAAATTTCAGCCGTTTTCCTCTAGTGCATCGAGTGTCGGCGCGGCTAGAGTTGTCTTCTGTGGGCAAATGCACATTGTACTGGAGAAGAAATGGAGGCAAGAGGACATATGTTGCAGCTGTCTTTTGGCTTGGCTGCTCTGTTCGTTCGCACCTTAAGTGATCCATCCCCAGCACCTTCGCCTGATCCAGGTTCCGTTCCTTCTTTCCATACCCTTTGTATATGAAGTTCTTCACAAGCACCATTGATCGCACAAGACATGTCAAGTCACCAAACCTCAACGTGCATCACGCGTTCATCTGTTCCTGTCAAAGTTTGATGACAGTAGAAAGAAAAATGCAAGTCCTTTAAAGATTCCCTAGCTCATTAGATGATGAGATGTAATCCTCTTATGGACAATTTAAATGGAAAAGCGTATCGATGCATGATGAATCTAAGTATGTAGTAATAAAATCCGTATAAATCAGTACTACCAAAAGGGTCGTATGCAGAACGAAGGATGCTAAAAACTTGCTTGGAGATACTTGATGCACACCCAAAAGAACAGAAAAGCACGGTACATGATATATCATGAAGTACTTGCCATTTCCTCCATCACGCCTTAATGCATTGCAGCCTGTCCACTGAACTCGTTCCCCTATAAACCGACGGGCGAATGCGTCGGCGTCCAAGAAAAGATCACTTACTGGGGTAGCTACCCCACGATGTTTTGCTGCAGAAATGTCCTCGATGCTTTGTCCCAATCCTTGCCTCTTCACGCAAATAACACGAGCAACATCTTTCTCAGCAGCAACCAGTGGAGCGACTGTAGCGAACGTTTCCTCCAGCCACTAGGCGCGCCGGCTAATTCATGTCGCTTCGACAATCTCTTCGAGGGAAGCAGCCGGTGCTCCAGCTTCTCACCAGTCATTCATCAACGAACAAGATTCATGTAGAGAAGCACAGGGCAATTGCTCAAACTTCAACACTTCGTTCAATGATGTCTGCGAGAATTACATTAATGCAATAGCGAATGCAAGGGAGAGCATACTAAGTTATTATCAGGCAAACAACAATGATACAGAAAGGGCAATTTGTGGGGTGGCTGTTATTACTTATCTAGCCTCTTGGAAAGTAGAGGATCTTGCGTCGATGGATGACTTCTACAGATGTCTGCCTGCTCTAGACAAGCTGGGTAAGGACTACAGCCAAAAATGACATCTACTGAGTCTAGAACATGCAAAGCTTGTGCTTCGTGTTGCCTTGTAACTAGATTTCACTGATTTTAAATCGAATGTCAACTAAATTTTGCAAAAATGTTTGATAATGTAACACGAATAAGAGCATGAAGAAAACCACTCTATCTAACCTACAAAATTGATGAATGATTTTGTACGAGGAATTTGTCTTGCAACAATGAATAACCAGAATATCTTCACACAGTGCTATTCTGTTATGCCGCCATTTCCCTTCAGGAAAATCAGATACCCATTTCATTCTGAACACATACGTACCTGCCCAGTTGCTTTAGGGGTATGCATGCAGCTTTATTTGCTTACCAGTGTCTCAACACGATCTCATCTTGACTCTCCTCTTTCTGTCAACAGAACCAGGTTACATCAAAATCAAAAGTAAGTAGACATCCACCAATTCTGCATAATTCGTAGTTTGCCTTCTTGAATCATCATAATTTTTGCACAAATCAATCGTATCTTCACCAGGTTCCATGGTGAAAGTGGTATTCACGATGCTGATTGCGACCGTTAGACTGATGCTGGTCATTGCACTGACAAAACACATGACTGGGAAGAACAAACCTCCTAAATCGGCTCATCTAAAGGAGATTAACACGTGGTCTGGCCTCTACAGATTCTCAAGGGCAGAGATCGAAAATGCAATTAACTACCGTAATGAGAAGAAATGCCTCGGCCGAGGAAGTGCAGGCCAGGTCTACAAAGGCGTCTTGCCAAGCAGACAAGTTGTAGCCATAAAACACATATACAAGAGCAACACATCCAACTCTTTCAGACGGGAAGTGGAAGGTCTTTCAAGGGTCTGACATCCAAATTTAGTTTGTCTCTTCGGCTACTGCATCGAAGATGGCGAGCAGTACCTGGTCTACGAATATTGCCCTGCCGGGAATCTAGCTTATCATTTACTAAGTACATGCGGATCCGGTTCATTCATTCCTCTATCAGTTTTTTATTCTTCAAAAAATAAAGAGAAAAAAGAAAAGAAGCTTTCCCAGAAAGGTAACTTTTATTTCATATTTTTCAACCTTAGCTTGTTTTGTCCTAATTACAGGGAAAGACACAGTCTTGACCTGGGAAAGGAGAGTCAAAATATTAAGAGAATGCGCAGCAGGGCCTGAGATTGGCAGCAACATGTTATGTTTGCTTTCTTTAATATGATTTCGAACAAATGTAAACCCACTCGAACATAAGTTGAAAACGAGCAAATCTCTCTCGAAGAAAAAGGGATCCAAATTTAAAGCAAACTTAGCTAAACTATGAGGCGCTGTATTACCTTTCCTTCCGTTATTTACACTTATAACAGGACACCAATTCTCTACCCTATTGGAGATAAGCTCTAAGCACTACCGAACATGAGAGTCCAAAGACTTTTGCATCGGTCGTCTAGCCTCTAAATCCATATATCACCCGGGAACTCACTGTTGAAATTCCAGCAACTTCTTCAGGTCCTTCTATTGTATAATAAATCAGTTGGGGTGGCCCGAGGGATTGGAGCGGCAGCGGCGGTTGCTGGGAAGCAAGCTGTGAAAAGTTATGTGCCAGTATGAGATGTGAGGAATTTTGAGAATTGGGTTTAAATTATGTTTTTTCGATTGTATTTGCGACAGTTAAAATCATAATGAGCATGTTCATGGTTTAATGTTTAGTGAAAGGCAACCTGCAAATGCATAATGACCCAAGTTTCAGTTTGTAAGCATGAACAATTTAAAGCCTCTGGTACGACTTTCCAACTATTGCATTGCATGATTCAACCATCAAATTTCAACACTAAAGAAAAGGTCGGAGAGAATCAGAT